CGGCCGGGCCGGGGCGGCCCCTGGCTCCGCTCACCCGGGCAGCTCCCACCTGCGCCCCGGTGCCCCCAGCTCCCTGCCTCCAGCTACACGGCCCCCTCCCGGGCAAGGAGCAGGAGGGGCCGGGATCCCCAGAGCCCCCAAACACGGGACACGGGAAGCCCCGGGCTGACTCTCCCCTCCACTCCTCAGAGCCACGGGGCCGTGGGGAAGGGCAAGAGCTGGGCTTGGCCTTTTCAGCTCCCAGCACAGGATGGAGCCTTTTCCTGTTGATCCCAGCCTGGGGCCTGGCTCCTTCCCAAGTGAAACCGAAAGCAGAGAGCAGCTGCCGGGAATCCGTTTTTCCATCAGGAATAAGGACTCTGGCAGGATGGAGGGAAAGATGCCACCCTGGATGCAGCGCCTGGGCACCCTGCTCCTTCCCGTGGCCCTGCTCCTGTCTCCCCTCTTCCCTGCCCCACAGGGTAAGTCCCAGTCCTGCTGCTCCCCTGGGGCGGGTGTGGGGGCAGCTGGGGGCTGGGCGGGTGTGGAGCCCTGGGGCAGCCTAGGCATACCCTGTGGGAGGAGCGTGCGGGTGAGGGAGAAGGGGCAGTTTTGTGTGTGGGGGTCAAGTCCCGTCGCCCCGAGCGCAGCAGGCCCCTGCCCCCCCAGCCCCCATCTCCCTGCACCAGGTCCCCGCAGCGGGCTGTGCGGCTGCAGGTGACCACGGTGCCCTCCTCCACGGCCCACGTGGGCTCGGGGGCCCTGCTGCAGTGCCGGTTCGATGTCGGGGGGCCCGTGGCCCTGGACTCCCTGCGGGTGACGTGGTATTTCTGGGAGGAGAAGTTGGCCTGGTACGACCAGGGCAGCAGAAAAGCCCTGCACAAAGCCAGCCTGCCATCAGAGAAGGAGCTGCAGAGCGGAGACGCCTCCCTGTCGCTGGCTGCGGTGACCGTGCCCGACGGGGGCTTGTACCGGTGTGTTGTGGGGTATGGGACGCAGCAGCACAAGGGGGAGACCATCCTGCGCCTGCTCGGTGAGGACCGGAGAGGGATCATGGGGTAGATTCATAGATGTTACGGTCGGAAGGGTCCTCAATAGATCATTGAGTCCAACCCCCTGCATAGGCAGCAAAGAGTGCTGGGTCTAGATGACCCCAGCTAGATGCCTATCCAACCTCCTCGTGAAGACCCCCAGGGTAGGGGAGAGCACCACCTCAGGGCAGGGTAGTTCCCGATACAGCCTGGGGCTTTGGCCTTCTCTGTTAGTGGCAGGCGTTATTGCTATATCTTTTACCTCCAGAGGCTTCGCTAACACTTCAGGCTGGCGCTGGGGCTAATGAGGAGAAGTAGTGAGCAGTGAGTGAGTAGAGTGCACACCCGTCTGCATGTGTGTGTGCATGTGTCTGTGTGTGCGTATGTGCATGTGTGCGTGCATGCGCCTGTGAGTGCATGTGTCTGTGTTCATAGATTCATAGATGTTAGGGTCGGAAGGGACCTCAATAGATCATCGATGATGAAACTGGATGCTTATCTTGCTGGGATCCTATGACCCCAGCTGACTTCCTGCCCTTTGGGTGGGGGCTGGACTCAATGATCTTCCGAGGTCCCTTCCAGCCCTGATGTCTATGAAATCTATGAAATCGAGTCCGACCCCCTGCCC